GAGGGTCGTTATACACGTTAACTTGTACAGTGACGGGAGGTATTCCATTACCAAATATCACAATATTGAACGGCACCGAGGTTATCCACACCAGCCCAGCATCCAGGACAACAATCAGTGCTACTGTAGAGTTTCCATCAGTATTCTACTGTGTCGGCACCAATGTCCTGGGATCTACAAATGATAGCCTTGCATTGCCTGAACCAAGTAAGTTTTTAAAATGCTTAAAGGGATAATAACTCTTCGTTTCAGCCAAAAAATGAATTTTCTGGAGTAAACAACAATTTTCCCATACTTACCAATGGTTAATGAATCCATTTTTACATTCAAGGTTAGTCCCTGGTTTTTTTCTAAAAAGTTTAGAGTTAATCTGTCATTTGATAATGCAGCTCTTTAGATCGATAAATTCGCTGTTTCCTGCACGACATCTCCATCTAAACCTTTGTAAAATTTTGTTAGTATGCTTTTATGTGTGTGTGTGTGTGCGTGCGTGCGTGCGTCAGTAATACTATACAACGGCAACAGATAGGAAAGCTTTAAGATACCACAGATAAGCTTAATGTCTGCCTTCACAAATACCTACAGGCCGCCTTAGGTAAGCTTTGTGCAAAATATTCAATACCACCCGCTTTCTGTAAAGTACGCACAGCTTCGGTGATCTATGTCTGGCCAATCCAATCTCATCCCAGTGAACCTAGGGCCGGCCTCTAACATGCGGGTCTAGGAATACTAAATAAGGATATTCATATTAATGATATAAGTGAATTGAAAAGAATCCGATTGCAGCTGCATGATGTTCCTACAACTACAACAGACCACACGTACTCGTATTATGCCTACATCATTGTCATCTTCTTCTGCACACCTTATATATTATTGCTCTTAAGTCTCTTTTTGGTTAAAATCTAATCTTGATCTTCACCCACATTATGCCAAACTTATGCAGTGCAGTTATTTTATTTGCCCTTAATAAGACTTTCACATACATATATATATTTCAGAGTCGTGGTTTTGTATTACAAACAATGTTGTTAATTTGGTTTAAATTTTGATTATGGCACAACTTGATCAAAGTGTTTTCCAGTAACCTCAGAAATATTGAATGTAGTTCCTTACTTATCTCCAAATATAGTTATAAACAAAGAGCTTAGAGAGAGGAGAGCCTGGAGAGTGTTATCACCCAGAAGATTTACTACAGAATACTCGATTTTGGCATTAACGTCTTTGGACAATAATTTTTCTGCTGAATTCATCATTGCTGTTATAAATGCCATCTCTTTGAGATTATATATATATTATATATATATATATATAATTTCGAGGATAGTTTTGGGGATATTTTAATGATTTTTATCATTTGAAAACATCTGTAATAGATGAACGTCACTTTTTTCTTTGTTTGTGCCTACCGAATACAAACATAAAGAAAGGCGTTATGTTTTAGTACGTTAGTACCTCCAACCGAATTTTTCAGACAGGAAAATGTCGCCTTAATCACTAATGCATCCATCTTCGTGAACATTTTTTACCAATCATGATGAAATCAATCCACTAAACCAGCATCCACTAACGTTATATTTTCCCCTTTACAGTCGCAACTATGTCGCCTTCAACCTCCCCAGTTACAACTACCCGGGACAGTACAGGTAATTTTGGCTTGCGTTTTCTTTTCTAAATTCATTTGACAACTACTTTTCAAGAGCTGAAGGGTGTTCTTCATAAATTTGTCAGCATCCTTTATTTACTGTTTGCTTGACAAAAAAAGGGAAATTGAATGGCAGTATTGTCTGTATTTGAGATGTATATGCATGAAATATCGATTTGAAATATTGGTTCCGAATTCCAGCTTCTACCACTACTACGCCCCCAGATAAAAATCAAACAGATGATAACACAGGTACACTTCTTAATCTATGTCAGCAGATTCTGCTGAAAGTAGAGATAATGTTTTTTTTTTTTTTTTTTTTTTTTTTTTTTTTTTTTTTTTTTTTTTTTGTGACTAAATGCTGTTGAATATTTGAATTATAAGATGTTGACACTAATTATCCAAAGGACCAAAAATACCCTTAAGTTCGTTTAGTCAGTAATAATTTCAGAGAAAAATAACAAATTTGAATTGCTCTCTAAATTTTCCTTTTCATAGGACAAACGCCAACGACCGGTAAGAGAAAGTATCATGATCTACGGCGTTTATAATCGCAAAAAAGTGATTGCAATTATGCCTGAATATAATTAGGCGAACCTTGGATTTAAAAAAAATCAACAACACACATGCTGCATGAATAAATCAATACGGGGCTTTATTTGTTTCCATGTGTATCTGCTTTTGTCTAATCCAGCATCACCACCTTTACAGAAAAGCGTTATACTCTCACTGTTTTCTCCACGCAGATTACGTGTCTACCTACATGTATGTGGCCAAGAAAGGTTGCTTCATGCGCTTCGCGTCTTTATCCTCCCGTCGAACTAATTATTTAAACCGTATTTTATTTTAAAAGTTGCTTTTTGGGATCACTAAGATATTTAAATATTACGTTTTAGCTAAGGCCCCAGGTAGCCCAGGTAATCCTCCAAACGTGGCCCTCATTGTTGGAGTAATATGTGGTTGTGTCGGCGGTGTCTTCATCATCGTCATTCTTGTGTATGTGTTTAAGAAAAGGGGACATAAGGCAAGGCCTGGTAAGCCTAATTATTCAATGTTTTCGAATTTCAGTAAATTATCGGTACTCATACAATGTGTCTAAGTTACGGTAATGATATAAAATATAACCAAGTTGCAAAACGTTACTGGAAAACGATAATAGTCATAATTCTCTTATCTACATGTACCAGGGAAAAAAGGTCTTACTTTAGAGCAGAGAGTTGTACAAGGCAACGCCAACACGTGTGAGCAACAGGAAAACGCCAACAGACCTTCGTCACAGGTAGGCATTCAAAAATTATTATCATACACAATGGCAAAAAGGAGGAAATAGGGACTGGCACCTTGCCCTAGGTGCCACTTGAAGTTGGGACCACTGCCTCGTTAATATGAACTTGTACAAATGAAGTGCTTCGAAAATTCGATGTGATTCGATAGATACAGAAAACAGTACATGTATACCATTGATTAGCGTTTCTATCCTATCCGCCAGGCCGAAATATTACATAGGGTTGAATATATCCACAAAAGCTATTATATTTAGTTAATAATCTCTTCTTACCTGTATCACCAGAGTCATTTAAAAAGTTCAAACTATCTGAAAGTTACCATTTAGACTAAAAAAATTTAGTTTTTAACTTTATTCTCTCTTCAATATAATCTTTCATTTATCATTTCTTTTAGACAAATGATGGTTTGAATCAAACTAAAGATTAGCTTTTTTTGACACATTTACAGGTTCGATGTCCTGAAAAGGCTTCAAAGTTGCCTTTTGTGAGATTTATAAATCGATTTAGAAAGGGCAACACAGACGATTACCACACGTACGAAGTACCTGAGAGGATAGAAGAGGTAATGGCGGTATTTATATTAACTGAGATTTTGAGTTCTATGATTACACTCGTATCTAGGTACAACAGTTGGGAATATATACTGATGAAATCTTTTGATAAGCTTCGTTTCACTTATGGTAAAACATTCAGTAATGAACGCAATCTGCCTCCTACAACTCTTTTCGATACTAAAGTAGCTGCTGAAAGTATTTACACATTTTGACATAAACACTCGCATGGGAGTATTAAATAATATTAATACAAATAATATTTTAGTATGTGATTGACATGGCCATAATGATTGCAGTATCCTTTCATTAATTGTTTGTTTGTTTGTTTGTTTGTTTTTTTGTTTTGTTTTGTTTTGTTTTGTATTGTTTTGTATTGTATTTTCAGAACCAACAATACACACATATTGCTTTAAACGAATCAGCCCAAGAACTCAATCGCAACGACATAGAGCTATTACAGAACATAGGACATGGTCACTTTGGCGAGGTCTTCAAAGCCATTTTAAAAACAACCAATGCTGCCGTTGCTGTAAAACTGTTGAAAGGTACGTTTTGTTTATCTTAAAGTACGAGTTAAGAAATCAAATGTCCAGTCCCTTTATGAAATTTTTTATCTATTACTACCTTATTCCAAGCCTAGAAATACATGTAGTTATTGCTATACGTGTACTTCATTATTTCAGAACAGTGCACAGAAGTTGAAAAAAGAGACTTTTTCAGAGAAATAGAAACTATGCAGTTAGTGCCTCAGCACGAAAATGTGGTTGCCATGTTGGGATTCTGTAAAACAGCAGGTAAAGGCCTTTTTACCAGATAAAAAATAAACTGTACATTTTTTCGTATACCCCTTATTAAAACATGAATAACTTCTTATGATTGTCATGAACAGTAAATTGTAATGGTAAACTGATAACTAAGGAGTCTACTATAGAGTCAAAAACCCGACGGAAAATGTTGTGCATACATGTTCATAGTATCCAATTTTTTTTAGGTCGAGCGTTCCTTGTGTTAGAGTACCTTGGCAATGGTAACCTTAAGACATATCTCCGTAAAAGCCGCAGTAACAACATCTATGGCAACCTTCATGGGGGAAGTGGCAAGCTGACGTCACAGGATCTATTGTCTTTTGCTTTGGGCTCTGCCAAAGGAATGGCTCACATAGCTAAATATAAGGTTGGTCGACTTTCTGGTAGTGGCAGAATAGGTAGCACAATAATTTATTAAGCAATATTATGCTGATATAATGATATGTACATTACATTAAGTGCAATGCTCAGTGATAGTAATAGTTTATCTTTTATGAATGTAAAGAAACTACGATAAAATTAGATGAGCCCATTTACTTAAATAAGTGAATATTTCTTGATACATCTTCTAGTAAAAAAGTGAAATGTCTTTTTTTTCATTATTAAATAGTTTGCATCGCTATTTTCGCGTTCAAACAATATCATAATTTCTCACAAACAGTTCCTGCACCGTGACCTGGCCGCCAGGAACATACTGGTCAGTGACGACATGGTGTGTAAGGTGTCCGACTTTGGTCTGGCTCGTGACGTCATTGACAGCAGGGAGTATCTCAGCAGAATGGAGGTATGGATGCGGTACAAGTGTTTCTAATTGAATGATTTATATTAAACATATTTACACGCTTATCGATTGCTAAAAACCATTTGCAGCATTAATGGACGTAGTACGTATGTTTGACAAATAAATGAATACTGCAGCATGAATTAGTGATGGAATCCAATATGCGCTCAAACGGCGTCTTACAAAAGAAACATCTATCTCCAGTCAATCTTTTAAATTAACCGCCGCGTCTTATATACCAGAACCCTCTTCCTTTAATTGTGCGCACCAATATTTCTCATTCAACTTTTGGAATTCTTATAACTACACTTTGGATATTTTTTTACATTGTGATTGAACATTTAGAAGGAAAATCAATATAATTAAATCTATATTCATTAGACTCCTCTGCCTATCCGCTGGATGGCACCAGAATCCATCTCTGACAGTGTGTATACCACCAAGAGTGATGTGTGGTCGTTTGGCGTTCTTCTCTGGGAGATTGTCACTTTGGGTATGATACAAGTGTTACTAGCCAATGTCGCTGCCTGATATACAGGGTTGCTACTTAATATGGAATATTTTCATCATTGTTATTTTTGAGTGCTGATTAAATTTTTTTGGGCTTGAGTCATTAAAAAAGTATGTCACTGAGTGATAATAACATCCAGCCTTCTGTTGTGAGATATTTTGGTCAATAATATCAAATCTAACATAAGATGCCATTCAAAAGAAAGGAATACCCCCAGAAAAACATATCATTGATGTCAGTATTAACTTTAAGATAAAATATTAAAGAAAATGAAAGCCTCCGGACAGTGATATGTTACACAGTCAAAGAACTCACTACAGTTAATCATGAAAAGTCAGTAATTGCGGGTATGACCTCCAGCAGCCTCTTGCAGCGCCCTCATCCTACATGGCAGCCCCTGTGACACGTTTTTTAGACTTTAGGTGGGGTATCATTCCACGCAGTGATATTTGCCTGTCGCAGTTCATCACTATTTACCGGTCGAGGACCATAGCTATTAATAGTGTGAATTACTTCCACCCACAGATTTTCAATTGGATTCATATCTGGAGAGTATGAAGGCCAGGACAGTTGCTGAACCCATTGGTTTTGAAGAAAAACAGTGATTCTGCGGCCTCGATGTGGGGTTGCGCAGTCGTCTTGGTACACAAAGTTGTTCCTGAAGATGACTCTTACCAATCGAAGCATTGTTTGCAGTAGAATGTCTCTGTAGGAATCCTGGATGAGGTTGCCTCCTAGAAAAACCAACTGGTTCTGGGCACCGACATGAAATGCTCCCCAAACAGAGACGTTATCCTCCCCTGCTTGCACCCTAGGCAGTACACAATCATTATTTTATGCCCCTCGTACACGTCGGTGGACACGGATTCGACGGTCAACCCTAAAAAATCCATATCTGGCCTCATCACTGAAAACGACGTGATTCCAGTGTTTTGGCTGCAAACGCACGTGGCCCCCAGCCCATTGCAGACGTCGCCGTATTTGACCTGCTGTTAACAGTGGTTTCCCTGCTGGCCTTCGTGCAAAATAACCGGCTTGCAGTAATCTCTTGTTCACGAGGGACCTTGAAACGGGCGTTTGAATAACATTCTGCCTCTCTTTTCTGAGGACACTGGTTGTCTTTGTACGACCAGCACGGCGTCCTTTAAGGAGAAGGCGATCCTGTCTTCTTGGTGTGATACGCGGACACCCTGGTCGAGGTAGTGGAGTAGGTGCCTCTGTTGCATCATGTCTTTGGAGGACTTCACAAAGAATCCCATAGTAAGCTACGTTGCTTAGCTGTCGAACCATATCTTCACTAAGGTACCTGCCAAGTTTCAGAGCGATCCCTTTGTTGCTTCTCTAAACACACTCCAAAGATTGACCAAACCCATGCGTTTTTACACAAGGGCAGAAATTGCCGAAAAGACCACCCCTCACATTTCTGACCACAGAACATGCAACTGCATGCATCAATTGTTTCGAGAGTTGTGTGGTAATTAGGTAACACACCTGGCTACACATGCAGTCACACCTCAGCTTTGTGTTTATAGTAGTTATAGAGAAATTAAATATTTTGTAGAAAATGTACTCGCCAAAAAATAATATTCCATATTAAGTAGTAACCCTGTAATATTTGAAAGTCATTGAAACGGCGTAAAACAAGTCTGTCAACTAACTGTACTGTGATAATTATAAGATCATGTTCGTATATGATAATTCAAGCATGTTTAGTTTACTGTGTATATCAAATCATCTCTATTGAAAGATTCTTATCTTTATTTGTTGTAGTGAGCACCTTTTATTTTTGGAGATCATAGAAATTTGTGACTTAATCAAGAGAAGCTTTATGATTTTTGGAGATTGAATATCCCTCCAACGCCCATTGAATCTAATGTACATGTAGATCTAAAGGCGATTTCTTCTGGCCTAAACAATTTTTTTTTTTTTTAATTTCTATAACTGCTGACGTATACAGGAGCTACCCCCTACCCTGGTATTACGTCTGGACGAGAACTTATACGTGAGATCAGGTCAGGATACAGAATGGAGAAACCTCAACACTGTACACAGGAACTGTAAGTGTAGTAACAGTTGATTTGTAATGTAGCACTGAAGGTAAAATTCGAATTTACGGACAGTGATAGTGCGAAGTGGTTAAAATGTAAAAATTTATGCATGAATATGCACCTGTTATCTTGTATTGCAAGTAAAATTTTGCTACAAAATTTTTTTGATTTTATGTTGTAGATATAATTCAGCCCACAAATATCTGCGAGATTCCCTCCCTTTTTTGGGGGGTGGGGGGTGGGGGGGCAAAACATATTTCTGGCCGGATAAAAGGAATTAGAAAGTTTCTATAAAACCCGATTGCTGAAATTCCAAACTGAAAAATAACGAAAATGCGTACATCTTATATGATACTTGTATGTTTAGGTACAATATGATGATGATGTGTTGGGAGGAGGAACCGACAAAACGCCCAACGTTCGACAATCTTGTCACCAGTCTTAGAGACATGGCTAATGAAGAGATGAAACTTCACGTGGACGTAGACAGAGCTGCTGAGGCCGTGTACTGTGATATTGACAGCCAGCTGGTTGGGGAGATAGTTTAACGTGGACATGCCCAGTATGAATATTTTGAAATAAGGATACGTGATTGTTAACTTAATTCGACTACAACATTCAATTATTAGCTCCCAGTTGCAATTTGTTAGCTTAATAAGTATGGAATGTGTTTGATGAGTTATGAAAGCTGGTTGGAATCATGCAAAAGAACCAAGTTACATTTGCCATTTGTTCGTGCAATGCACGTATATACAAGTATATAATGACCGTACATCCCTTTTCTTTGCGGCTTCCGTGCGGAGTCAGGCGGCAGCCGTGCGCACATTATCATTATCAAGTGGATTCACGGCCTCCGTAAATCCTATGATTGTATTAAGTTAAAACTTTTGATTTTACTTAAACGTAAGCCCTAAGCCCGTAGCAATATCGTCGATGGCATTACACAGTCCTACATGGACATGATGATGGTTCAACCTCCAGTATTTTTGAGAAACGGTGAACCACAGGTTTATACTGTGTTTTTATAGCTATTGAATTTATTCCAGCAGTGCGCCTAATCACGTACTTCACTGCACTGTAGACATTAGGTCAATGCACTGATAGATTCTATACTACGTAGACTACATTGTATACTCTGTATGTCACAAAGAGGATATAAATCACATGAATAACGGTAAATATCACAAACAGGCCTACCCAACTACCAGACTCGGCACCTAAGGATCCTGAATTAACCGGTATATCGGACCATGCTACCCGTTTTCAAGGTGTGTGTCAGATCGCATTTCGGAGTATCATACCCCAGAATAAATTTTGTAGCACGACTGCGGGCTCATCCACGCTCGGCTGAACAACCTGAAACTGTACTCTTACTTTAGAGTACTCTATTTTATTGTCTCTATGGGGGTATATGGGGACTTTACGACATTCGGTTTGAATGTTTTAACCACTTTTGATAGGGCTTTTTTGCATTGTATTAGATTAATGTGGCAGTCTTAGGTTCATCTAGGTGGCTTTCAAATTTATGCGCCCGGTTTTAAAATCATATAGCGATTTTACGACAATCGTTTACTATCCAATCAAAGTGACAGCCGAGCATGCCAGGGCTCATCCTGTCGGTGTTCTGGCTGATACTCCGAAATGCGATCTGACACACACCTTGAAAACGGGTAGTGTGGTCCGATATACCGGTTAATTCAGGATCCTTAGGTGCCGAGTCTGGTAGTTGGGTAGGCCTGACAAATTGAATCTGAAAATTGAATGTTTTCGCTGAAATTTTCAATTTGAATTGTTGATCTCGACCAAAGTTATGCTTGTGCCTATACTTATGATACGAGTTTAGAATAGTTTGATCTGTATTTTATTAAGTGCATATTTTACGTGCATCTTTTTCGCCGTGTGGGACTGTATAAGACCCACATTTTTAATTCTGTCTATATCTCTTAGATTTTTTTTAAATATGTATATATGTATTTTAATAAGATTGAGTTTTAGTAGTGTAAATTTTAAATGGTTTCCAATGCGAGTTTATGATTTAAATATTGTAGTCATTTTAATGATTTTAGTATACCAGCCATTATTGTAAGGCGCCTTGAGATAGAATATGTAAGGCGACATATAAGAATCCTACATTGTATTATTATTATTATTATTATTATTATTATTATTAAAAACAATATTAAAAAACTGCGCGCTTCATATCACAGTGACAACTTTACACCATGTTTTAAAAATGAAAGCTTTTTCATTAGAAATATGATATATGAGATGAGATTTTGCTACATGTAGGTCTTAATATATGAATAATTTTCCAATTTTTAGTAGTGCATAATGTCCATTTTGAGATATCAGCACACTTATGTGCAGTTTTATATACATTACATGCAACTCTGAATGACACCTTTAGATTATTCTCTGTTAGTTTGCTTCCATCCTACATTTCTTTTCATCAGTAAGTGTCTGTATATTTATATTGTAACAGAATGGCGGATCCAGGGAATAAAGCAGTGACATGCCCTAATTCCTATATAACGAAAAGAGTTACAAAACTTGGCAATTTTCCATCCCAGTGTCCAACAAACCATAGATTAATTGTCCTTATCTACTATATTTGCCGAGAAGAAGGTTGATTTTTGTACATTTGTGCCCCCCCCCCCCCCAACACACACTCACACAGAGAGAGAGAGAGAGAGAGAGAGAGAGAGAGAGAGAGAGAAGGGCAAAAACTCTGGATCCGCCAGCGAAAAAGCACTACAAGTACGAGTGTCAAATGTGATTTTGCAATTGCAAACATTACATGATGGTTTTCCCGAATTTCACATAAAGAATTACGAACAATTTGACAATAAAGCACTTTCTGTCCATTGTTGAGATTTTGCTGATAAATTTTTGGTTCGGTAATCATACTTACATCATTGGCTTCGTACTCAGTACGTAAGTACTGCTTACACGTCTCGATTTAACGAAGTGCATTCTGTGCCAAAATGATGATTAGCGTGTAACTTTTTTATCAGCATTTGTGTTCGTTTAACTTAAAGACGGAATTGCCTCTTTGCTAACATATACATGTAGTAAATATTTAGGAATATATTCAAAATTAGGAACATGCAAATGTTACTGAACCAATATTCATTAACAAATAAACGATTTATCACAAGAATGCAGACAAAAACATATGCATTATTTTTTTATAAAAAGCTGAAAAAACACGCTTGTTTTGGCACAGCATGAATTGTCAATTGTCAGTTTTCATATGGCATCGTAACTAAACCATTTTAATTTATCTGGACTTGCACCAAACGTATTCTTGGATTTTCCTCATTATTTCTATTTTAACAAATGAACATCGATGAAGTACAGTAGCTTACCAGACGTAAGATGTTCAAATTTATCATAAAATCGTTGCTTATCAAGCCCCATTGCCAGGTACCTGTAAAAATACGAAATTAACGTGGTTAGTTCTTCTATAGCTGTGCGTCACATTTAATAAAGGGAAGGAGGGAGCACAAAGTTAGCCGCAACTGGTTGTGATCCTTATATCATCACAACTATCGCAATTTCTTCATAATCTGAGCCAAGATTTTTCAACTGTTATAATTAAAAGGAAAATCGATTAGTGAATAATTTCACAATAAACAGAGACCTTTTTACAGACAAAATTTTAATAACATCAAAGTTGTAATAATTAAACATTTTGGGGTCACTACTTTTCATCGACACCAGACCTTTCAAGTTTTTTTATCAGCTGTTGAAGGCCTACAATACATGTAAGCAGATTATTAGTTCCGCATATATATTCACTTTAAAATTCAGCTTTAATTCAAAACAAAAAGCGTCGCCGGGGCCATTTTCTTTCATGTTTGTCGACCGGAATGGATGTTATTTTTACAATGTATTTGTCGACAATATTTTCTCCTTATATATAAGTTTACAAGTAATGCTGTTTCAATAATCGAAAAAGGGAAGATATGAATGTGAAAACAGTGTCATTGGATCTCAGTTTTGATAGTCAAAAAGTTTTCAATTATGATATATTTATTCATATATTGATTTACCTGTTGACTGTTTCGTCTGTTCACTCTGACGGACTTGATCACAACTGAATAAGCTGTTCAGCTGAGGTGAATAGGCAATAACCTGTCTTGATGATGACTTATTAGTCCTTCTAGTAATGTTTTGCTGTATTTTAATAAATTGTGACAACTTGAGAAACGAATACACGTTAACATAACATATCATTTAATTGACATTATGCAATTTCTTACGAAAACAGTTAGCAAAGAAAAGTCGACCATGTAGAAAACAACATCAGCTTGCTACCTTTATATATTTTATAAAGCACGGCTGCAGGAGCCTAGCAATTAAACCTCGGAGCTGAGATTCAATCCGTTTAAAGGCACGCGTGGAGTCGGGAAGACCATCAAGAATCAGCGGCATCGCTTTTGAACTGTGGTCAGCCATATTTAGTCGGCGGTTCAGTAAGCACTGGGATCATCTGTTCTGAATGGGGCCTAACTGTTTAATAGAAAACACACCATACAACTCTAATAGAATCATAACATCAAACAAGTCTACTCAATTTCCATAACCTAAAATACATGTATTTATTTTTCGATAGAAGTAACATATTTTCCGATGCAGTACATATTACACACTGTTTTAGTGTACATTTTCTACAGAAAAATAGCTTCTTAGTTTCCGCAAACAGTCACGCGGTTCTAACAAAAAGAGGACAGATCACGTTTTTCTGACCTCGGCGTACTCGACATGGGAGGCGTCGTTGAACACCAGTTTGTTGTGGCCATCCATGCCAGCTGGCTTTGTATTTCCTCTGGGACGTACATCGAGGTCGGTATACTGGAGGTCTCCTTTGTTCCCCTGTTGATTTTCCTCTTGCTCCTGCTGTAAAATTAAAATGATGTTATATTTAGTTCTATTCGTTAATTTAAATTTGTTAGATTTTCATTTCATCACTCCATTCCCCAATATCTTCTTTCTCAAACTGCTTGCGTGTAGCAATCTTTCTTTCTCTCTCTCTTTCATAAAAAGTCACTTTTCTGACTTCGGCGTACTCGGTTCTGGAGTCCTCACCAAACACAAGGTTGTTGCGGCCACCTCCACCTGCTGGCTTTGTTTTTGCTGCGTGACCTAGATCAAGGTCACCATAACTGAGGCCTTCTACGTTCCGCTGTTGCTTTTCCTCTTCTTCTTGCTTAGGAAATGATAAATATGTTCTCGAATTTTGATTGTAGTATTTACTTTTCTAAGATTATTTCCTCTTTGTTTACATGTTTATTATCATAAAAATTAATACATGTATTACCACTTTTTCTCCTCGCTGTGTGTGCGCGCACTTTCTTCTCTTTTTCGTTCAGTCTTAAATTCAGCTTAAATAGTTTTTTCGCTTTAGGCCTCCCCTTATTTTCTACGTTTATTACTCTCTCTCTCCCTCTCCCTCTCTCTCTCTCTCTCTCTCTCTCTCTCTTGCGCACACAGTTTTCTCACCATTGTCATCACGCCGTATTGGTTCTCTGCAACAGCATTTTCTTTG